ATTTAGAATAATGTTATGAGAAAGTGATGAGAACAGCAGCTGAGTGAACTGGCACAGAAAAGGATGTTGAGCACTACTGAGGGCCTAGCAGGGATTGAAGATCATTAATTTGTCCTGGTACAAAACTGAGTAAATGTGGGATTTTCTCTAGTGGTATTCAGAAAACCAGATGTAGGAGCATAGTTAAATTAATTTAATATTGGGGGAAGAGAGAAAAATTCAAGGAAGAAAGAAATTGGTTTTGGCTGGAATGATCAAAGATGGCCTAAAGAAGATGTAAGATTTCTATCCAGACCTTGAAATATGGGCAGGAATCCATGGGGAGTGTAAAGAATACCAAGAGTAAGAATGACAAACGATACAGGATCGGCTATGGGAATAGACAAGGCATATGAAAGACTCAGTAGACCAATTTGGCTGAATGAGAGGGCTAATGTAAGGCAATAATGGATGGTGATGTTGAAAGGGTACATCTGATAAAGATTGGTTAAGATACGTATTCTTTAGCTTTGAATTTCAAACCACATCTTTCAGGCATTGAAGATCTGTTGAAGGTTATTGTGCAGGGCAGTGATTTAAGATTAATGTGGTGGCAGTTTGCCATAAGGATGGGAGGGAGATTGACTGCAGGTTGAGAAGCCGGTTTAGGGGGCTGGCAAAATAACCCAAGAATCAGTGAAGAATAAATAGGAGAGTAAAGAAAAGGACAGAGAGGCAATAGACAGAAAGTCAGTCTCTCTTCTCTGCCCCCTTAGCCTTTTTCACATATCACCACTATAGAACTTTCACTCTCAATCATGAATATTTGCATAAGTGCTTATCTCACCCCAATTGCTTATTTCTTTCATCTGTTCATTCACCCAACACATACTTATTGAGTATCTACCACATACATATTAGACATTGTACTAGGCGCTGAAGACTCCAGACTAAGAAATTTTATTCTTTCAGGGAAAGCAAACAAGTAAGGGAACCAAGGGGAGCTCAATAAGTGACCAAGTAGAGTTGTGTGCCAAGTTCTAGGGGCATAGAACATGAGCTTCTAATCTATGATGGCAGAGAAGGTGATGCTTAAACCCAGCCTGGAAGAATCACAAGGAAGCAATCAGGGGAGCAGGTGGAGGAGGATGCAATGAAGCAGCAAAAAGGAGGTTGCACCTTTGCATTCTGGGAGCTGCCAGTTTAGTGAGCCTGTGTCATAGGATACATGTGCTGGCATGAAGGGATGTGAGGTGAAGAATTTAGCAGGCCTGTGTGTCATGCTAAAGAGTTTAAGTTTTACTTCAAATGTGTTGGGGGTTCCTGAAGGATTTTAAATAGAAGAATGACGTGGTTAATTTTTTTTTTTTCTCAGTCAGTGAAACTGAGAAGTTACAATCTCAGGCTCTGGGGTCAGATTGAGACCAGAGTGTGATTCATGGTTTAGCTGCTTGGTGGCTATGTTATCTTGGGCAAGTTACTAACCTCTGTGAGCCTCAGTTCTTCTGTAAAATTAAGGGGGAAAAAAACAAAACAAAACTACCTTCCTCATAGGTATTTTTGTCCTTCATTTTATAAGAGTTAAATGATATGTCAGTTGTAAAATTCTTAGCACAGAGCTTGGCACATAGAAAGCCCTCAAAAACTGCTCACTATGCTAATATCACATTAGTCATTGTTACTATTATAAAAACTGCTCTGTGAGTGACATGTAACATGAATCAGAGATGGAGGGGAGCTGGAGGGAGGTAGACCAGCTCTCAGGCCTCTAGAATAATTTAGGAAGAATATTCTTCTATTTTCTGTCTAGTAACCAACTGTCATTCAGGAGTAAAAAAAAAAAAAAAATTATGGAATAAATGAGAAGGAAGACTGAGCAGAATTTAGTGATTGATTAGCTTAAAGGAACTAGAGAGAGAGTATAAGATGACTGCAAAGCTTCAAGCTTGAGTGACTGGAGAATTCTGGTACTATTCGACAGAAGGAAATTCTGTCTTTCTCACCCCTTAGCTCTGCTTTCTCAGGCCGTTGCTTGCCTGACATCTTTGGATGGTCGGCCGCTTTTTCAATTTCCTTCACTTGTTCGCTGACTGTACCGTGCAGGTCTGCCTGTTTGTCCCTTTCCAGAATGCCTTGTCATAACATAGTGAAAGCCTATTTCAATTTAGAATCTTCAAAATTTTGAAGTCTCAAATTCTACTTGCAAAGTGATTTTGATTACTTCTCTGCAAGTCATATTTCATTTATAGATCAAGTAGATAATCTCAGGAAGACTTCAGCACCTCTCCCTCTGCTTAGGGGCATTAATAGAATCCTATGCTTTTACAATTAATATTATATTTTATGGCATAATTATGTGCCCTTCGGCTGCTAACCAAAAAGGTCGGCAGTTCAAATCCACCAGCTGCTCCTTGGAAACCCTATGGGGCAGTTCCAGTCTGTTCTGTAGGGTCTTTATAAGGCAGAATTGACTCAACAGCAAAGGGTTTTTTTTTTTTTTTTTTTTTGGTGGCGCAGTGGTTAAGAGCTTGGCTGCTAACTAAAAGATAAACAGTTCAAATCCAGCCGCTCCTTGGAAATTTGTGGGCCAGTTCTACTCTGTCCTATAGGGCTGTTATGAGTTGGAATTGACTCAACAGCAATGGGTTTGGTTTGGTTTCTTATGCCTATAGTATGGAATTAAACATATATTCTATTTTAGGCCCCATAAGATAAATTAAAAAACAAAACACCTGGCTCAGCTTTTGGCTTTTCCATTCTTGCCAAATCTTTACTTCTGCTCTGACTCTGAAGACAATTGAAGAAACCTAGGGGTGTGATGTTAGACCTTGTTCTAGCCGGATGGTCTGTTTACTGCGAATGCCTGATTTTAGCACTACCTAATACCAGGTGGAAGGTTCCTGGGTAATACAAATGGTTTGCACTTGACTATTGACCTAAAAGTTGGCAGGTTCGAACTCACCCACTGCATCGTGGAATAAAGGCCTAGCGATCTGCTTCTGTAAGGATACAGACAAGAAACGCTATGGAGAAGTTCTACTCTGTAACACAAGGGTTGCCATGAATCAAAATTGATAATAGCAGGTGGGGCTAAGGCCATAGTTCCCTGTTTTCTTTCTTTCTTTTTTTTCTCCTTTTCTTTTGAGTTTGGATTATTCTGACAACTAAAATGCCTTGTAGCTTGACAAAAAACATGATTTTTGAGCTTGTTCTGGAGGTAGGTTAATGAGGTTCAAGGCTTTGCCAATATATTGAAAGATTGTTTTTAAGAAATAAAATTTTTAATAATGTCTTATAGAAAACAAGTCATAAGCAATTTTTGCAGTGTTCTCTACTAGTGGGAGCCCTAGTGTTGTAGTGGTTAAGTGCTATGGCTGTTAACCAAAAGTTCAGCAGTTCAAATCGACGAGCCACTCCTTGGAAACCCTATGGAGCAGTTCTGCTCTGTCCTATAGGGTCACTATGAGTCAATTCAACTCGGCAGCAATGGGTTTTGGTTTTGGCTGTACTAGTGGGAATGGAGTGTGTTGATCTGTCCAAACTCATTGCCCAGGAGCTGTTGTGATCCAGAGCACGCAGTTGTAAAACAGCTGTCCTGAGCTAGGGAAGTAGAGGAAAATCAACCGCTTGGGTAGGATTAGTTGTCCTAATCTCACTTTCATTAGTCACTGAGCTCTGGCCAACAAAGTAAGGACTGGTACAGACCCAGAGCCCTGATGGTGAACTAGTTGAGAGATTGGCTGCTAACTGAAGTGTTGGCAGTTTAAGCCCAGCAGCTGCTCCTTGGAAACCCTATGGGGCAGTTCTGCTCTGCCCTATAGGGTCGTTATGTGTTGGAATCGACTTAACGACAATGAGTTTGTTCGTTTGTTTTTTTTTTGGCACAGACCTGGAGGTCAAATTTTAACAGAAGGGGTCTCCACAGCAGCACACAGAGCCGGTCTTCTACTCTTTCTTTCCACTGGTCACCGAATTAAATGTCTCTGTGGGAAAAAGCTGTGGTTCAGGTTCTCAGAGCTTTAGTGAGTAGCTCTCTTACTTTTCCAGACTGTGAATATACTTTAAGGCTATTAAAATCATTTATAGTGATGAAAAAAAAGATAGGGACTCAGTGATTCCACCCCAATTTCCCTTTGTCCAGCGATAGAAGCCTAATTACTTTAATGTGCCTTCTTGTTTCCCCTAGTGGTGGCAAAACAATCCTACTCATCCTTGTAGGGGAAAAATAAATAAATAAATAAATCACAGGCATTTTCGACTTGGGAACACAGCAAGACAAAAAGCTACCTGGGCGAGCCTGTTTTTCCAGGGTGATTTTGACAATTGCTTTAAGTATGGCTCCCTGGTGAGGGCGCTGTTCCATCTTGGGTATGGGCCAAGGGGGTGGGGGGGAAGCGGTCAGGAATCCCATTTAGATCACAGCCAAAAACAAACCAGGAAGTAAGGAGAAATTATTACAGTCTGTACATAGCTCAGGATGTTAAAGGCAATAGCCTGGGCGGGTTGGTTATTCATTAGCAAAAAGGCAAGAGCAGTGGGGGTCAAGATTGGTCAAACTACTGGAACAGACTTGAAGCAGGGAGACAGCCCCTGGCAAAGGCAAGGTGTGGAGATTTTACCTGGAGTTAATATCTTTCTCTTCTTAACTTTTCCTTGGGACAAAAGGCAAGATGACTCTTTCCTGTTCTCAGACATTTGCCAAGATAAAGCCCTCTTAATTTTATTTTTTGTTGTGGCATTCTTAAGCAGACAAGAAGAAAAGACATCTTTCCACTGAGCAGCTGCCCAGCTCCCCCACGCTTTGGCTCTGGGGCAGCAGCTATCACCTCAGGAAGAAAGGAGGGTTGACTGTAGCCAGACCTGCTGGACTGTTTTAAAACAGGGTTTTTGCACACTCTCCAAAGCATGGTGAGTCGGTGGTGATTTCCAAGTCACCCGGTGAAGGGCGAGAAAGTGGATCTACAGAGATTAAGGGGAGAGGGAGAAGCCTCTCTCCCCTTCTCCCCACCAGGTAGAGCACCATGGGCAACGTCTGTCTGAGGCTCCGGGCTTACTTGCAGCGCTGTATGCCCTGCTTGTTCCGGGAGGCAGTCAAGCCGGTGGTGATTGAGAATCCAGGAGCCCATTGCCCCCCTGATGCTCCTAAGCCACAGAAGAAGGAGCCTGAGAGAAGCCACGGCCGCTACTTCGTGGCTCTGTTTGATTACCAGGCTCGGACGGCAGAGGATCTGAGCTTCCACGCAGGGGACAAGCTCCAAATCCTGGACACTTCCCATGAGGGCTGGTGGTTTGCCAGACACCTGGAGAAAAGGGGAGACGGCTCTGGCCAGCAACTCCAGGGCTATATTCCTTCTAACTATGTTGCTGAGGACAGGAGCCTACAGGCAGAACCGTGAGTAGTACAAACCCACACTTTATTTTCCCAGTCTCAGAGGCCGGGTAATGAATTTTTTTCCCTACCTAACCAAAAAACCAAAACCAAACAGGTTGCCAGTCGATTCCCACTCATAGCAACCCCATAGAATAGAGTAGAAATGCCCCATAGAGTTTCCAAGAAGCACCTGGTGGATTCAAACTGCCAGCGTTTTGGTTGGCAGCCACAGCACTTAACCACTACCCTACCAGGCTTTCCAGTTTCCAAAGAGCTGCCTAGAAAGTTTGAGGAAGTATGGGCAAGAACCTAGTAATTGAAATACACCTTCCCCACCAAGTGAGAGTAAACCTGGCTGGTAGTTGTTGTTGAAAGAACTTGTATTACAGTATGTATATCCACAGGCCCTGGGGTGCATTTTCATCAACATAAACGGTGCATTTAATACTCTACCTTTTCTTTGGCTTTAAAATAGCTCACACCTCACTTTAACAATGGTAAATCATAGGACTTCCCTAAACTACAGTTTCAAATCTAATGTCCAGCCTTTTTTTTTTTTTTTTTTTTAACCTTTGAAGCATTCAAGGGAGATACAACAACTCCACCCCTAACTCTAATCCTAATCCTTTTTCATTCTGACAGTGCACACAGGGCTAACTAACAGAAGATATAACATTTAGAGCAGGAAAATTTTTACCTACATTTTCCCCAGTGAAATCATATGTAGACATTTTTTTCTTTGAATTCCCAATCTCGCCTTATGCTACCCAACTTACAATATCTTTCAGTTTTTACTATGATTGGAAACTGGCGAGGCGTTTAGTAAGTTTTAACAAGAAAAATAATGACAACAACGGTCATTTCCTCAGAAGAGAAGAAAAAGACTCTGTATTGAATGAATTCTATGAATTATAGTAGAACAAAAGAGGAAGGTTTTATGTATTTATTCATCTACCCATCCGTTCATCCATGCAAGTGCCAGGCACAGTAGTAGGCATGGTGTGTGTGGGGTAAGGGTGGGGGGGGGTGCTATTCGTGGTTGAATATAAAATGGATAAATCACACTTTTGACAGTGGGTACTTAGGGTTTGGCAGGCTGAGAAGCAAGTGGAGACTGTTTTTGGCCCCAACTTTGTTGCTGCCTTGTCCTGTGAAACCCAAATCTGGGAGTGTCTCTCAGGAAATGGGCTAATTATAGAGTGGATTTTAGTTGAGGAACCACTGAGGCTTCACGAATCTTCTCATGCAGTCAGTTCTTTCTCTCTCTCTTTTTCTTTTTATGCAAGCTGCAGCACCTCTTATTGGCTCAAAGAGTAAAATGTTAAGGAGGAGCCATGGACATTATTGCAACTTTCCAAACTCTCAAATCCAAATAAAAAAGGTAGTTAGGGGATTTTTGAGATTCTTAACAATGCCAAGAACCTATAAATGATAAGAGGATTTTAAAATTTATGCTTAAATAGAAATGAATTGTAATTTAGAATTTTGATGAAGTGAATTGATCAGTTCTTAAATGAGAACATTTATTTTCATCGATAATCTATAAGAAATACCTTTACTTATTCATTAAATGTTTGCTTATGTGTATCTGTGTGTATTCACTACTACATGATTTCCATGTAGGGTGTGGCATTATGCATGTTTTATTTTCAAGGTAACATACATATAATGTTGTAATACTATAATATTCATATTTAGTGCCCTGAATTTATAAACTACTAATTTTTACGTATATTCAATTCATTTAACTGCTTGGGACCTCAGTTTTCTCATCTGTAAGGGCTTTCTCTTGGCCTGCCTCTGAGTTCTCTAGACCTCTGGATTTCCTGATTATATGGGTACATGAGCTCTTATGTTTCATATGTAGTAGTTCAGCTTACATTAATAGATGATAGACTTATAAATACTGGAGAAAGCAAGTGGAGTGAAACAAAAGGAGTAATCTAAAAGTGATAACATTCTGAATAAAAGACTTGAGTGCAGTGTCCTTACTAATTTAGGCTATCTTTGCCTAACAAACACAAAATAAGGCAACTGGAGGATTGTAGCTATTTTTTGATTTTCAGAGGCCATCCGTAGCCAAGAATATTCTTTCCCTCTCCATATAGCTCCCGACCTTTCCTCTTGGAATTGGTTCTGTGCATGTGTCACTACTAGCCTAAATCACTCTGGTGGACTTCCCTTGATATCTTCACATCCACTGAAAAAAAGATGGTGCCCAGAAGTTGCTGCTGCTGTTCCTCCTGGTCAGCACGGGCAACCAGTTTTCTTCTAAGTGCACACCATGGCCTTCACCTGCGAACCCAGGTCTCTTTTGGGGGGTACTTGCCAGTATATTGCTAAATTGCTACAGTACTTTTAGTACAAGTAGTTGTAGCTCTAGAATTCTACTACATTTCAAACAGAAGTTATTTTAGCTTAGCCTGAGGGTGTTTAAGTGGCTCAAAAAACACCTTAATACCTGGGGAATTATACAAAAACAACCTCTTTTAATGTTTTTTCTTGTGTGAGTTTTTAAAACATGCCACTTTTTAACGCAAGTAGTATGTGCTTTCTACATTTGTTTGCCAACTGTTCCCTCCCCTGCCCCTTGAAGTATTTTCCTAAGTGCCACTATGCCAATTTTATTTTTAACATGCTGTTGTAAAAAACAAAATTATCTTAGTGTGCTTAAGAAAATACCTTACATGGGGGAGGGAGCAGTTGGCAAACAAATGTAGAAGGTGTGCTTTACTGGCGTAAAAATACTGTATACTTCATCTTCCCTTAGGAATACTGTGAAAGTTAATGCAGTTTATTCTACATTGAGGTCAGTAAATAGTAATAAGTAACAATTATAGTTTATATTCACTTACATGAGATAAGTACACAATGGGAAACCAATAAAAATTGAATCACCTAATTCCTAATTAGACCAGTTTAATGTAATGTATATTAATATTCATCCGTTTATTTCTTTATTCTGGACTTGCATAAGAAAACAGTATTAATACTCTGGAATTATTAGTGGTTCGAGTGATAGAGCAAAAGAGTTGAAGGTTTTAGTTTTAGTCTTTATTTTGCTTTTTTTTAACACTAGAAAGTATAGAGATTTTGAAAGAACTAGACAATTGTTAAAATATAAATCAACTGATTAATTAGTATTCCACCTAGAAATACTTAGCCCTTTCTTTATATCTTGTATTAAGTAATTTAATAAGCAATTATTAATTATTTATTTTTGTTTGTATGAAGAATCATTGTATTTATCTTCAACTTAAATTTATTCCTAGATCCTTTGATAGATGAGTGTTTTTCTTCAACATGGAATCCCTCAAAAATTTTACTATTAGTGTTTGATTACTTAGAACTCTCTTAGAATTTTTATTCATGGCATTTTTAAAGATACAGTTAAATTCCACACAGAGAATGATAGGATGGAAGTTGCATATAAATCTTCGATTTATATGGCTTTTAATTTCATTGCTTTTATTTAAAAAAATCTAGTAATGTAATATTTGATGACAAGAAATACAATCAGCATAGTATATTTTACATGTAGCATCATGTATGTATAAAGAGTTTGAAATATTTGTTTGCCTAATTATTTAAGTATACCTGAAGTGGGGTCCACACGGTTTTATGAGAGTGTAGTTAAATTGGAGGAGTCCCTGGGTGGTGGAAATGGCTAACCCACTTGGTTGATAACTGAAAGGTTAGAGGTTTAAGTCCACCCAGAAGCACCTCAGAAGAAAGGTCTGTTGCTCTACTTCTGAAAAAATCAGCCATTGAAAACTCTATGGAGGACAGTTCTACTCTGACACACTTGGGGTCACTATGAGTTGAAGTTGACTCCATGGCAGCTGTTAGTTAAATTGGACTAATATTGGAGGTGAAATCACACAGTGTTTCTTGCCATTTTCAACCTAGTTGTCCGGAGATTTCTTTCTCAGCTGGGACATGCAACTAGCATTTTAAAATGTTTTTAAACCTTAAATTAGTGAAAGCTAATGGGAAAATGTGGTTTAAAAAATTAAAAGTACTATTGATAAAGAAAGAAATAAGCATCATAATATTCAGGTGGCATACTGATTAAGAGCTGGGCTGCTAACCAAAAGGTTGGCAGTTCAAATCCACCAGTTCAAATCCACCAGCTGCCCCTTGGAAACTGTATGGGGCAGTTCTACTCCATCTTAGAGGGTTGCTATAAATGAGAATCGACTCGATGGCACCTAACAACAGCAATCTAATGTAATAGAATTTTTCTACTTTGAATGGCTTCAAGCTTCAAGCACTAGAAAAACACCTGTAAGCAATGAGTCCCACAACTGTTCTTTGTCCAAATCACCTATTTCTTTCCTTTTGTGCTAGTTTTCAAGGAAGACCAAATGCATATTTGTGGAAAATGAAAACAATACGTTTTCAGTTGTTCTTCTTTCAGACAAAGGATACTTAAATACCATAGTTTATGGAAATTAAGAAAAGATTTTCATATCTAAGAAAATACTTCTATATTTAAGTATATATATGGCTGTCTATTAAATTGTTTTGGATAAATTCAAGATTAGAATTTTAGGAAAAACCATTTAAATCAACTAAAACATATTTATATGTCCTTAGATTGATCCAGAATGGATATTATTAAATTACTGTATTACCTGTAAACCAGAAAACCAAACCTGTTGCTGCTGAGTCAATTACGACTCGTTTCAACCTTATAGAACAGAGTAGAACTGCCCCATAATGTTTCCAAGGCTGTAATCTTTATGGAAGCAGACTGCCACATCTTTCTTCTGTGGAGCAGTTGGTGGGTTCAAACTGCCAACTTTTTGGTTAGCAACCAAGCACTTAACCACTGGGCCACCAAGGCACCTGCATTACCTATAGGATTATGATATATTCTACTTTCCCTATCCTTTGAATTATTTGTCATTATATGTTACTTACTTTCAAATAAATATAATAATATGACAAATGCGTTGCTAAAATAATTTATCAAAAACTTTATATCCCAGGTAAAATCATATGATTTTTCATGTTAA